TTGTTCCGCTGTAGCAACCTCTGAAATTCAGACTGAGCCAAGGGAAAATGAATGAATGAACCTATATCTTTTGTCTTTGCCATGATGATAATATATTTTACAAGATATACAAGAGCTGTTGAGCTTTAAGTGCGATTCAAAGGCTTAATTAGGTTAACTTTGGCTAATTAGGCAAGTCATTGAACAACAATAGTTTGCTCTCTAGCCAATTGTTTTTTTTTAAGTAAGCTAATAATATTGGCCTTTAAAAATGTAAAACTGCTTTGATTTTAGCCGAACTAAAAGAAATAAGGGGCGACACAGTGGCTTAGTCGGTCGCACTGTCACCTCACAGCAACAAGGTCACTGGTTCGAGTCCCGGCTGGGTCAGTTGGCATTACATGTTCTCCCTGTGTTTGTGTGGGTGTCCTCCGGGTGCTCTGGTTTCCCCACAGTCCAAACACATGCGGTAAAAATGAATTAGGTAAGCAAAATTGGCCATAGTATTTGTGTGTGAATGATTGTGTATGGATGTTTCCCAGTATTGGGTTGCAGCTGGAAGGGCATCCTGTGTGTAAAACATATGTTGGATAAGTTGGTGGTTCATTCCACCAAAGGGATTAAGCTGAAGGAAAATGCATAAATGAAAAGAAATAAGTTTTTTTTTAGAAGACAAAATATAGTAAATACTGTTACAAATATTCATGCTCTGTTAAAAATCACTTGGGAAATATTTTAAAAAGAATAAAACATTTTGCAGGAGGGCTAATAATATTTCACTCAACTATATATTGTATACATTGCAGGATTTTTAATTTTCCAGCTTTGTCTTATCATCACCAATTCTTTTAGTCTTTTTCTGCCCAGCATGTGTCAGACGGCAGCTTAATGCATAGTGTTTAATGGATTGGTTGACCTTTTGGGTTTAACACCTCGTTGTGTCATAGTCGCACCTAACATTGCCTGTTGAAAGTTTATAAATGATGTCATAGAGTCCACTTAAACCCTGACTGCACATGACAGTAGTATTTAAACATTAAGACAATGTTATACCAAGCCTTAGGCTTAGGGCAGCAGGTAAAATAAACAAGCGTTCCATATTCCTCAAAGTGAGGTTCACAAATGACAATATATTGATTATTATTGAGCACATTATTCTGGTGTAATGTAGCTATAGTTTGAATTATATGCTGATTATATGTACTGTTTATACATCCTGACACTGAAGTGCACACAAAACCACATGATGTTCAATCATGTTATCTAGTAAATCAAAACAGTTGCATAATAGAAACTGAAAACATTCCCCAGCAGATGTCACTATGGAATATAAATTATGACATTTCTAATTCTTAATAGGATGTAGTCATAGTTATTGTAAGGGCCAAATACATAAAAAAAAATCCCATAAAGTGACTTGAGTGCAATTTATTACCATGTGTTGGGTCACTGCACACATTGAACAGATTAGGTTTTAGTTTGTCACAAGAAGGAAGCAAGATTGGTTTCTTGCTTTTGTCAATCTAGACAGCATTTTATTGGACATTGATATATATATCATCAATCTTTTTAGTTATTTTATGCAAGATATACAAATCTTTAAACTTATAATACTTGTAAGCACTTTGATCAAGACAAATTAGTAAACTTCCAATTAATCTTTTTTTTTTTCATTTATTTCCATTCGAGTCCTGATCCAGATTTCAGTGTTGACGTGGTTGTTCATACCACAATGATTTCTGAATAATTAATTGATGCTAAATATTATAATGGATGCTGAAAAATCTGCTTTGCCATTACAGGAATCACTTATATGGTGCAATTTATAAAAATAGACAAGTTAATTTAATTTGCAATATTTCACAGTGTGACTGTTTTATTGTATTTCTGATTAAATAATTGGAAAAATCTTGTTTCTAAAACATTGTAAGAAATCTTACAGACGTTTAGACTTTTAGATTTTTTATTGATAATGTGTATAGTCTCAAAGCTAATAAACATGGACTAAAAGTCTGAAAAAACTCAACTTTTTTCCTCTGCTCTGTAGAACGCATGCTAACATATAATAGAGGAAGCATGAGGTAACTGAAACATTTTCCAAAGCAGAGCCGGAAAAGGTGCTGTCACTCCGGGCATGACTTGGGATCAATCTTCACCCCACCGTTCCGGTGCCAAGGCACGAATTTTCATGCACACAACATTCGTGACATTCGGTGCTGTGCTCCCCCAGCGCGTTTGCAAATGGAATCCAGCTGTAGCGGTGGAATGCATTATTAGTGGTTAGCCATAATTGCGACACACTTGTTTGCCTGCGTTGTCAGGCTGTCGTCACGCATACACACAGTTTCACTAGACAAATGGGATGGCTACGAGATCACTGGGCAGAGGTGCGCACCGCCGCAGTTTTTTGTTGTTGTTGCTGGCATAGTATTTTGTTATGTGGTTGATGTGATTAAGAGTCCCGTGGAAAGCCTTCAGTAGATTTTTTAAAATCATGAAGCAGAAGCAGTTGGGTGATTGATTGCTTTATGAGCTTGAGGAGAGTGTGTGTATGTGTGTGTGAGAAAGAGAGCGGCCTGGTCTGTATCACCATGACAAACAGTCATCAGAGTACTCATGCGGTAATTAACAGAATGTAATGTATATGGAAGTTTGCGAAGGGAGAGAGAGTCTACATTAGGCTAACGCAATCAAAGAGACAACGAGAAAGTAACAAGAGAGAAGCCAGGGGAGAAAGAGGGTGTAGGTGAAGAGAGACAAGAGACAAGATCTAAACAGAGAGAGACAGCCTAAGAAAAAGAGTCGGCGAGGGAGGGGTGATCTAACTCTCTCCCTCGCTCATTCTTTTTCAGGTTGGGGCTGTCAGACTCATGAGTTGCTGTGGACTTGGCGGCTAATTGAGGAGCAGCTCCACACCCTGTCGTCATTAATCACTAGGGCTGCCGGGCTGCCTGCCCGGGACACTGCTGTGATGGGCTGCAGCTCTCTCTCTCTCACACACAATCTTTCTCTGCTCGGTAGTTGACTGGACACTTCGGGAAAGGGGGGGTCTCGTCCCCCCACCTCCATTCTAAGCCCAGTGGGACCGCAGAGAAAGGGAGAAAGAGATCAATCAAACAGGTGTATCCCTGCTGAGAAGACACTGGTCAGGGACTAAATTAACTCCACACCCCCACCCACACATCCATCCAGCTCCCCTCCCCTCCACAAGCAGGCGACAGAAACAGAGTGACTGCATATTGACTCAGCTGGAGCCTGGGAGACGAGGGAGAGAAAGATAAATGGCAGGGAGAGATTGATGAGGAGAAAGACGGAGAGAAGCATAGAGCAGGAATGTGATGAACGAGTGGGAACGGGGTGATGGTAGGATTAATCCCTCGCTTTTGAATAAAACGTAAGAGTCCTCCCCTCAGTTTGACCTTTCTGTACTGGCTTTAACTAAAATTGTATTTTTTCTAATACTTCATCAAAATGCTGAGAACATGATATGTTTCCAGAGTTCTACTTTTGCAAGACAAACTCTTGACTTAATTCAGCAATTTCTCTCTTTAGTCTTTGTAGTTGCATTGCTTACCACTAGGGGTGATGTAAGCCATGGTATGAAGTTTTTAATTCTCTTGGGCTCTGCCCAAATAGTCTGTAACTCTATTAAATAACTTCCTCTCAGAGTCTCACAGGAAGTCATTCAAGACCATTTCTAAAATAGACTCTTGGCGCTGAAACTTTCTTAAAGATCTGAACCTCTCTTTATGTCAACAAAATGCTATAATACAGTTTAGAGACTGTCAACTGCAGTTTATACATCATTCTGGCCCGTGACTTGTGTTTTGGATAGACAATTTACTATTAGTGAGTCTACATTGTGTCTAACGAATATCTAGAGATGGAACTGAGAAACATTTTCCTGTTATTTTCATCTCAGCCTTTTCTACTCTAGTCTTGACCTCCTGGTTGTCCATAAGAGGAACCGTATGCTGTGTCCTTGTTGGATAGCCTGAGTTAACAGAGGCGGTGGAGTGATCTATTCATTTAATGGCCCTGTCAAGTGACACCTGTGCTGCGTCCTCTCCTGTCTGAAGTGCTAATGAACTGAGAATCTGTGTGTTTGTGTGTGTGTGTGTGTGTGTGTGTGTGTTTGGCTCGTCCTAGTGCTTAAAAGCAGCTCCACTCACACTGTTTCAGGGTAATGGTTTTGAAGATGAGTTGTACACACTGACTGTATCTGTACAAGGTTTTAAGCCTAACACACTCATGCACATCACATCAACAATATTGAATCTTGACCCTCTTTGCAGCACAGCATTAAACAGGACTTTCTAAACCATAGGACACGACACACTCGGGTCAAACAATGGGGACTGCACTCCTGGGGGTCATGTCAAGCATTTGATAAATATTTCTCTATTAACAGCCTCCCATTGTCATCTTTTGCCCTTTGTGTAGCAAGGCAATCCATCAGAGTGCACTGGGAGTGAGTGCATGGCTCCCATGGGTTATTACCAGGCTATCATTGAGCTGTATTTAAGACCCAATACTCCCTTGTGCTGAGGCAGCTCTTTACACAATGCTGCAGAGGCACAAACAAGCAGCAGTGACTAACACTGCACTTTCACATCACGAGCAGAACAGTAAACAGACAGAGGACCTTATTTTGTGTTAATAGCTTGAACTAATAGGGAACAAAACTGTCAGTAGTGTAGAAAGATAAAGTCAAGGATTAGTTGCTCAAGTGAAAGTGCAGTGCATTTTATTAAATGCCAACCAACAAAATAAAAACCTGTGAATGTTCAGATAGATAGATAGATAGATAGATAGATAGATAGATAGATAGATAGATAGATAGATAGATAGATAGATAGATAGATAGATAGATAGATAGATAGATAGATAGATAGATAGATAGATAGATAGATTGGTCTGTATTTTTTACGAGTTTGGCTTGCATAGTAACTCATGATTTGGGCATGTTACTAAAAGTGCAATAAACATATATTTGAAAGAGAAGCGAGGGACGTCATCTATAAATGTAATCAAGTATCATTTATTACACAAAATAAGACTTTATTAAATGGATAGCGCTGCCATCACAACATAGTACTCTTATTTGAATTCTTTTCCCCTTCTCCATATCCATCCCCAACTTGCAGAGTCAGCTACAATAGAAAATATATCACATCTTTCTGTTTTATTCTTTGAACTGTACAAGTACAAAATAAACGCCAAATCATAAGGAACAAAGTAGCTGTTGACCAAGTCATGCTCATCCATTCTCCAATAAAGAGACTGAGTTGCACAGATGTAACGCATGAAAGAAAGTGACATTAACAGAAAGACTGTATGTCAGAGAGACAATTTGTTGTAGTCCGTCATTTCATTATTACAAAGTGTATTATGGGAGCAACCATATTCATACTGTGAAAATACTGCGTCTTTGTGAAAATGATATAGAATGAAATTTGGCAGCAAATGTCCCATAGAAACAGTCAAGCGCTCAAGTGAAAAATAAATATACACTTTTGGTAAATTGGAGAAAAAAAAAAAGAAAAATTGATCAGATAAAGTAAATGGAGTTCCGGCATTCTCATTAGCGCTCCGCCTAAAGTTCATAGGGGTTCCCTAATATCCTAATAGAAATTTGGATGACCATTAATTAACAGTCATCCAAAGCAGATGAGATTTTATTCCTCAATGGATGTGATGAGCCGTTATTTGCTTCTTTCTTTAGAGGGGAATCCTGCTTGTTCCTGTGCTTTTCAGCGAGCTCATGCCATTAACTTTACACTGTCCTTAGTCTTTTAATCACTGGTACCCAAGAGCAGAAGCTGAGCCCAGTCTCTGGCTATATAGAGCATAGGGAGAATAGTAGGGCGCTGTGGCTGGGAGAGAGTGCATAGGTAGGGATGGAGCTCCTGGCAAATGTGCCTTCCCGTAGGGGTGATACCTTGCCAAACCTAGACCAGGTGACCCTCGCAGGGACAGGGAACTTGGAAGTGCCCCTGGGCTGCTAGGAGGAGGCAAGTGGAGGTGGCAGGAAGCAGCAGAGGAAACAGAAGAAGGATAGCCCGAAAGCAGCTTCCCATCCACACCTGGCAGAGCCGTGTGTGTACGCAAATGGGCCAGGAGTTCCTCTGAGGTGGCAAAGCGTTTGTCACATGGGCCACCCACTGAGACCCAGTTACAGGCGTGAGGGAGTGTTTCATTGGGCAGCATGAAACCGTAGGTATACAGAGGATGGGACAGAGATGAGGTGGCACTAGAGGACAGAGAACTGGGGTGGAGTGAGTGGAGGTGATGGGTGGGATACATTAGAGGAAAGCCAGACTTAAGGGCTGATGATGGATCGTGAACGCAGGAAGAGCAGTTGCTGCCCCCGAGGTGGGGTGCATTGGGGTAGGTCAGGCAATATGGGTCCCTGCACAAGCCCTGCATGAAAGAGGGAGGTGAGGCCCCTGTGAGAGGACTGGAGCTGGGGTGCTTTCCTGGAACACCCATCCCTAAACTAGATTTCGCTGGATCCAACCCAGGCACAAACTGAGATGGATAGCCGGTATAGGCCCCGACAATGGAGCCGTGGTAGCCCATGGTGGAGGACGGGAGGGGAAAAACGGAGTGGCCTGGTTTGAAGGGTGACACAGGGGCGATGTGGCCTGTGCCCAGGCTGGGCTGAGGGGGTTGGGAGTCAGTCTTACTGTCCGGTTGAGGACTGCTGGAGGAACTGGCACTGCTAGAGTTCACACTAGCACGTGCATGACTGGAGTTGGCGATTTGTACAACGTCCAGGCTTGATTTATTGTGGTCCGAATCTTTTTTGCCATTGCGATCACTACCACTGCTGCTGCTGTCATTCCCTGGGTCTGAACCTGCAGCTTTGGAGTCCATGTGGGTGGTTTGTAGATGTGCTGTTTTCTGTGAAAGAGGAGACTGAGACTGCCGGTGTGTGTGTGACTGTCCAGATGTTTGCTGAGGGGAGCTGGCCCGTGGAGATGGGGCATGCGGAGGTAAAGACGTGCACGTCACAGATGAAGAACTGCCATTTGGCACTCTGAACCCCGCTTTATCTGCTGAGCTGTTGATCCCAGCACCCTCCTTTCGGCATTCTGATCCAGTTTTAGAGTAAGGCTTAAAGCTGGACTTGTCATCTAGGTTCTGATGCTCCCCAGACTTCAGGCTAGAGCTGCTGGAGCGGCTGTCCTTGTCTCCATGGCTGCTGGAGGAGAGGGATCCCAGTTTAGAGGAGGGAGGAGGATCTGGCTTTCCGATCTGAGAGCAGGTCTGAGCCAGCAATGCTAGGGGACTCTTTTTAGCATCCAGCTATGGGAAAAAAAGAAGAAATTTTAAATGAATGATTTTGGTTTTCTTACCACCAACAAAATGACACTTCATTTATAGACCAATTTTTTGGCATGCCCTCAGTGATATGTCATATTTCAAGGAAGATGCAATAATTCTATTTACGCTTGGATTATTTATAAATGACATCATCATCATAAAAAACTCGCATGGATATTAAATTTTATTTTAAATGATGTTAATTTGCATGTCAAGGGTGAATTAAATCACTTGACATATTGTTGTAGTTTTTGCAGCACTCAAAGTGTGCCGAGCATGCAGAGTTTTATACAGGTTATTAAAAAGATTGCACAATTTACTTTTTTAAAGTTCCATTTGTGTGCCAAAAAAGCACGTAGATGCTGGAAGCTTTAACCACCTAAGAGCAGTAAAGGCGCACGTCAGTAGCGATTAAGGAAATGTGAAACCTTAAAATGTTGCCAGAGCACGGCCTCATCTAAATCCGGACTATTTCTTCAAACTGCCGCTGAATCGCTTTCAGGATCTTTCGGCTAAATCCGAATTACATATTAAAACGAGCCGCGCAACATGGAGCTTAGAGCTAAAAAACGTTGACGCAAAATATTGCGTGTACTACACGACTCGGGCACAAAATAAAGAGAACACCCTTTCGCTTTATAGAAACTAGGACAAACACGCAACTCTAACACATACAAATGTAATGTATATATTTTTACTTCGCAGAAGTAAGAAACAAATGGTTTAGAAGTCGTACCTCAATGCTCACGGGCGCCGAGCTGAGCGGCTGGAGATACTCTGGGTGAAGTATGTGACTTGTGTGAGCGGTCAACATTTTGAGAATCCGTATAGGCAGCCTTTTCTCCTGACGCGCGGGATCACGGTACGGCAGTGAGGCGATCGAGTCGACCTGGAGTCCTAAACAAGTGGGCGAACTATCGTTGGTAATGTAATGACTTTTAAAGGTCTGCTGGTTCCGTGGACTGACTGCAAATCCAGGAGGCAGTTCGCTCATCTGGATCGGGGCGGATCAGAGACCTGTCGAGGGCAGCGACGGGGCGGGTGTTCAGTTTTCATTTAGAGATATCCAGTGTTTTCAGTATAGAGCCAAACGACATTATATCCCGTGAAATATCCAGTTGAAACATCAGCTCTGCCTGTAGTCCAGAGAAAGAGAGCTGTTACAGTGTCTATGAAGAAGAACGTACACTCCGTCTCCACATCGTTCCGTCACCGAATCGGTGTTGCTCGAAACCCCAGCAGGATCGCGAGTCCTTTACGCGCAAACGACGACTTGACAAATATGAGAAGTATTGTGTACTTGTCTTAAAATAAAAAGAAACAAACAACAAGGCAGAATATCGTGTCAAATAATGGCATTCCGTTGGTCCGTGCGCTCTCCGGTGTGTGTTCACTACACCCTCCGTACGCATATACACTGTGCTCGTACGGGAGATCTGAGGGAGAACTTCAAAGCGCTCAGCCGCCGTCCAATCACATGCATCTGCATCGGTAATAAGTGGGTAGGCACAACAGAGGCGGAGACTGTCCTCCTCTTTCCTCTGACTCGCTCCGGACCCGCTGGCCAAGTGTTTGATCGTTGTATGTCAAAACACGCAAAGGCTGTGGCATGCCGGTTTACCATTTATTTGATATATTATTGCCATTTTTTACTGGTATTTATTTTGTAGTTTTACATTTAAATACTACTGCTGAATGTAAACACTTATAGTTATAATAAAAACTATAGTATAATCAATAGTATCTTGTTTGTTTTCACAATCTATTGCAATCTTCAACTCTATTATACTTTACACTGTTTATTTGTTTGCTAATAGGCATGGGCTGGTATAAGATTCTAATGGTCATGATAACACTAATGGTCACGATAACAAAGGTTTCACGGTGACGTTATTGTGATTACTGCTCTAAAATATGTTCTGTGAAAAATACCAACAACTTTTTATTCCTTGAACACAATATATTTTATTTTACCAACATTTAAAATGTTTTAGAATTGTAAACATGTCAAGCTAAATAATTAAAATGAATCATTAACTTCTGCTATTTATTAGTTAACACAACACAGATTTCTTTACAACCTGAAAAGGCATCTTTGGATATCTGTCTTTACTTTGAGTATGAAGTAAGTAAGCCACTGCACTGTTCAGATGCTGGATGTTGGTTTATAAGCAATTTGTATCTCAGCTGTTTGCTGAATCATGTGCTGACTAGTAGCTTTTGATTTGGAGGATCCTTTTTTGCTGAAGCTACTGCTGCCCTTAAAAAACTAAATAACTGTAAAACATGTAAAAAAAACACTTAAGGAAAGGTATAACAGATTTTTTGTTTGCGGTTTTAAAACCTTGACTTTTCCAAACTGCGGTAAAGGGTTATTATCCCATGCCTATTTGCTACTATTTTTGCCTGCTATTATTATTATTTTTAAATTTTTTTTGTCGATCCAATCATGAGTTGACATTGCTAAATCTGAAATGTTGTGAGCTTGTCCACTTTCAGCCACTTTCAAAGGCAGTTGAAAACACATTAGACAGGATTGCTTTCAAAGTGTAAATGCTCATGTGGTCGAATGCGCTCAGAGAGCTGCACACAAACAAAAATAAAACCTAATTTATAAACATTAGTGCTTTTGAAGTGCACTGGCCAGACAAGATTTCAATTAAATCATCTGAAATCACAAGTCTGGTTTGAAATTTAGAAAGCACAATGATTTATCATCAATGCATTAAAGCTATTTTTATAGCGTTTTTCATCTATAATACAAAATACCCCTCATCATACTACATTAATTAGTGAAAAATGTATTTCTAATTAAATATGTGTTTTACACTTAAACATAATTTGTCCATTACGATGATAACTGTGCAAGTAGATGGTTGTATTAAAAAGGGGAAAGCAGAGATTGTGGTAGCAGTTCTTTTTTTAGGTCAAACAAGTCAAATGATACTGAGCAATGCATTCATACATAATAACAGCATGCCTATGTGTGCGCCTCCAGTTCTGGAATGTTAATAACTTTATTACATTATCCCATGTTACTTTGCCATTGAAGTAATTTAGCTAACTTAATTATGCAATGAATTGGCTTAATCATTGAAAAATGAAGCCTGACAGAGGCTATTACAGGGAGACCGTGCTAATTCGTGTCTAAGTAACTTTGAAGTTCAGTATATTTAATGGCTTTGATTGTTCGTAAGTGCTTATACCCAGCATTATTAAATTGGACCAGGTTGTATTACATTATTTTGGCAAGCCCGTTTCTAAAATTGAAGCTGAGTTGTAGCTGGTTTGCAAGGAAATAATATTTTATCATATTATGATATTTTTTTATTTTATATTCTATGACATATGATACGTGTGTATAACATTTCAGCAATATTTCAATTTGAAGGTTGTAGAAAGGTTGCCCTCGTTTTGCACAGCATGAAAAGACACTCTAAATGTATGGATGTAAGAGAAAATTTATGTTGCTCTGAATGGCAGTACCTGTCAGGTGAGTCAGAGACATGAGAAAGGGCTCATCTCTGAAGCTGTTCTCGGGGTTAAAAACAAAGAGCACCTGGGAAGCTTCTTGAAAGGTGATGTTGCCTGCCTTAGTGTAATAAAAATGACAAAAAGACAGAATGCATGAACTGTTGACCCAAGGAGAGGAGGAGCCACAGGCAAACATGTGTTTGCAGGGCTTTGTCTGGTGTATCTGGGTGGTAGAGGTGAATATTCATTTAATAATGGTGCACAGAAAGGAATGAAGGCCTCAGGACACTGCATTTCAGAGGCAGAAAGAGTTTTAAGCTTGTCAGCAACCTGTCATTTTAGATCCCACATACAGCACACACACAAACAGCCTCCCACACACTCACAAGTGCCTTCAGACGATCAAAGTTGACTGGAGTGGCAAAGTATTAAACCGCTCTCAATCATACCTAACAGTTATTTCTGTCTCGCTAATCTAAACTGTTAAGTTAATTAAACTGTCACTCTGTCTCGCAACACCAGAGATGCATCTCACAGTAGATTGTTTTGAATGCACGTTGTCTTATTTGTTCAGGAACGACTCAACGTTGAGTCCACGCACAGGCGCATCTGCCATTGTTAAACAAGGATCTCTTTACCTGCGGCGTCCAAAGCCATTTAACGTTCTGCACGTGCGCGTACATATATATATGTGTGTGTGTTGAGAGATAGCAGCGGTGGTTGAATGAAGTCACCTCTCCTTCTGTCAACAGCCCTGATGTTTGCTTTGTCATTATTAGTGTCATCCATCACTTGCCACCTAGAGTCTGTAATGCCCGTGCAAATCTATAAAACTATAGGAACATGCAAATGTGGATGATGTGCTCGGGGTTAAGTGAGATGATTCGATCGCTTCCTTTGAACAGATCAGTTGTCTTTGCCTCAGACAAACAGATACTCCAGCTTTTGACAGGTGTGGTCTAACCTGTCAGCGAGCCTATTAATGTGGGTTGACGCTTTGTTGATGCTTTTACAGTTGCTGATCCATCCCTGTTGCCACTCTGTAAAGTTTGGTCAAGATGTCTGGAATGTTTCCGTTTGTCTAGAAGTGATGTTACTAGTCAAAAACCCAGAATCACAGGGTGTAACCATTGTTTTATTCTTAGAAAATGAAGGATCGCTGCAAAAAAACATGAAACGCAAACCTAAAACCTCAAATCTTAGAATTCCAATGGTTTGGAATTAAGATGGATTGCCTTACAAAAACATTTTCAGGATAAGTGAGTTTGGCAGGGGGCAAAGGTGTGGGTGGAATGGAGGGAGTTTAAAGGCACCCTAGAGGAGGAGGAAGGGAAAATAAAAAAGAGAGAAAGAGAGTGAGAGAAAGAACTGAGGGCGGGCTGGAACAACGGGGAACAGCTCCTTTCAAGTCTGGCCTTGAAGTGGGCTGCTAACAGCTGTTTTGACGTATAAATGACGGATGGTCATTTCCTGTTGTGGATTTTAAGGGGCAGGCCTCCCCTTTAAGAGGCCTGTCTGACCAATCCCTGTTAAGCCTGAAGGCGTTCGCCTATGCATGACTGTATCAAAGCACAGGCTTTACCATAACTTTGACTAAACAAAGGGCTAAAAGCAGAGGCTAGACTTCCTGCTTGACCATAGCCCACTCATATCCTTCACTGGTCACTCAGAACAGATTACAGAAGTGCAGAAGAAAACCTACCGGGATTTTAAAGCAGGCCATAATTCATTTTAATGCGAAGAAGTGACTGACGTGAAGCTTGGAGGGAAAAAACAAAAATAATTGAATTAAAACCGAAATAGCTAGTTTTATTTAACATTTGCAGTTCTTGTCGTTCTCAATTTACATTTTATATTTTTATTCTTGCCTGGCACAGAACGGTTTGTCACTCTTTGGTACAGACTGAGAGACGGCAAAGCCAAACAAACAAAAAGGATGCAAATCACTTGCATTTAATTACCTGTGACTGATTTATGAGGTGAGTGGTATGAAAAGGGAGCCCAGAGGCAGGGAGTCTGCAGCTCATGCCTGGTCTGTTCTCCAGAAATAATAATCCTGTGAAAAAAGAGGGACAGGACAGCTTTATGGAGTGTAGCTGACATGCGAGACCAACCCTGGAGAACTGTAAAACGCAGCACTCTCCTTCTCTCTGTGCTTTCACAAACCTCACAATCCTTCCGAGTGATTGTGAGATTTTTAGGATCAAATATTTAAAAGCGCACCGTTCCACGTCTCGGTGGAGTGTTGTGTGTGTGCGACAGACATGATAGAGAGTCTACCAAAAACAGTCAAGGAAGGTATCATGAAAAAGAGCCCAAAAAAACCCGAGTCGAGTCAAAAATGAAGATTTATGTAGTTCGCTGCGAATAACACACACACACAACATATGCGCAGGGGTAACAAATGACAGGAAAGGCTTTTCCCAGAATTCTCTGAGAATGGGAGCTTCTCAGGTTGATTTAATGACTCATCTCTGTGTTTTGGTATAATCAGACTTGAACATCTTGACTCTCTCTGATCCAGAGACGTGAGTGATGGTGTGATGACAGGATAAATATTTGTGTGAAACCACATGCGCATGTGACGGAATGGAATATCACACAATAAGATGGATGAAGTAGACTTGAGTAATAGTTATATACCCAGTAAAAGCTCATTTCCATGTTTTTTTATGATATCGCTCTCTCGGAGGCTTAATGGCTCGTCTCTCTTGTCGCCTGTCTGATCAAGAGCCCAGCACATCTACTCATCTTCCTGTCTCGCTGATTATCTCTGACTGATTATGTACATGCCCTACAGTTAATGACAGATCTTTATTTAGCTTTCAAACATGTCATGTGCACCAAAACACACACGCACGCGCACACACAATGAACTTAAACGCACCCTTCTCGCTCAAACAAAAGGTCCCATTGTCCT